GCCCGAAGACAACTTTGGAGGGAACATGGGTCTAAGGCCAGAACTCACCCACCAGCAGCATCCCGCGCAGCAAAGCCACTTCCCGCTTCTGCGTGACGACCTCCTCCTCTTTTTTGCATAGCTACAAACAAGCGATGCAGTCAACATGAAAAAATAGAAACTGCTGCCCTTAAAAAACAGACGCCTCAACATTATCCCATCAACGTGGGTGGGGGTTGGGTGGGGGTTGGGTGTGGGGTGGGTGGGCGGGCGGGTGGGTGGGTGGGTGTGGGTTGGGTGGGGGTTGGGTGGGGGTTGGGTGGCATCACCTGCAAAACCGGGGTTGGGGTGTTGCCCCCGTTCCTTTTGAGAAAGATAGACACCCCTGCTACTTTGTTTTGGAAACAAGGTGCGAAAACGTTTTTCCGCTCTGAAGAGAGACAACCCTCAGCCAGTCGTTGCGTTGATCGTTGCCTGCTGCAGCTCGACCTCAGATCTCCGCTGGTCAAACCTGGATGTAGCGGGGTCGACGGGTCAGGCAAACCAGAGCTTGCTGCTTGGTTGCTGTTTTCCCGCGCCAAGCTACCCCAAAGCTCTGCCAAAGAGCTGTCTCTGTCTCTGTCTCTGTCCCAGTCTCTGCCTCTGTCTCTGTCTCCTTTTTCGGGGCTAGTCCATTCGGCAGGTGAGTTGTTACACACTCCTTAGCGGGCGTCGACTTCCATGACCACCGTCCTGCTGTCAAAATGAACCAACACCTTTCGTGGTATCTGATGAGCGTGCAGTTAAGCACCTTAGCCCAACGTCAGGTTCATCCCTCATCGCCAGTTCTGCTTACCAAAAACGGCCCACTTAGAGTTGGCATTTATCCCAGAAAGTTCAACAAAGCAACCAGTGTGGATCTTGACCCTTTGAGAATAGCCCGAAGACAACTTTGGAGGGAACATGGGTCTAAGGCCAGAACTCACCCACCAGCAGCATCCCGCGCAGCAAAGCCACTTCCCGCTTCTGCGTGACGACCTCCTCCTCTTTTTTGCATAGCTACAAACAAGCGATGCAGTCAACATGAAAAAATAGAAACTGCTGCCCTTAAAAAACAGACGCCTCAACATTATCCCATCAACGTGGGTGGGGGTTGGGTGGGGGTTGGGTGTGGGTTGGGTGTGGGTTGGGTGTGGGTTGGGTGTGGGTTGGGTGTGGGTTGGGTGGGGTGTGGGTTGGGTGTGGGTTGGGTGTGGGTTGGGTGTGGGTTGGGTGTGGGTTGGGTGTGGGTTGGGTGTGGGTTGGGTGTGGGTTGGGTGTGGGTTGGGTGCGGGTTGGGTGGGTTGGGTGTGGGTTGGGTGTGGGTTGGGTGTGTGGGTTGGGTGTGTGGGTTGGGTTGGCTGGGATGTGGGTTGGCTGGGATGTGGGTTGGCTGGGATGTGGGTTGGCTGGGATGTGGGTTGGCTGGGATGTGGGTTGGCTGGGATGTGGGTTGGCTGGGGTGGGGTGTGGGTTGGCTGGGGTGGGGTGTGGGTTGGCTGGGGTGGGGTGTGGGTTGGCTGGGGTGGGGTGTGGGTTGGCTGGGGTGGGGTGTGGGTTGGCTGGGGTGGGGTGTGGGGTGGGTTGGCTGGGGTGTGGGTGGGTGGGTTGGCTGGGGTGTGGGTGGGTGGGTTGGCTGGGGTGTGGGTGGGTGGGTGGGCTGGGGTGTGGGTGGTGTTGTTGCTGGGGGTGGGTGGGTGGTGGCTGGGGTGTGGGTCGGGTGTTGGCTGGGTGTGGTGGTGGGGGGCTGGTGTGGGTGGTGGTGGGTGTGGGTGGGTGGGTGGTGGGTGGGTGGGTGGGTGGTGGGTGGTGGGTGGGTGGGTGGGTGGGTGGGTGGTGGGTGGTGGGTGGGTGGGCGGCGGCAGGCCGGGCGGGCGGCGGGCGTCGGCGGGCGGGGGCGGGTGCGGCGGGCGGGCGGGGCGGGCGGGCGGGCGGGGCGGGCGGCGGCGGGCGGCGGGCCGGGCGGGGCGGGCGGGCGTGCGGGGCGGGCGGCGGTCGGGCGGGCGGGGCGTCCGGGCGGGCGAACGGGCGGGCGGGGCGGAGGCGGCGGGCGGGCGGGCGGGCGGGCGGGTGGGTGGGTGGGTGGGTGGGTGTGTGCCTGTGAGTGTGTATGTGCGTGAGAGGCATGTGCACTACGGGTATCCAAGTTGGATGCGCATGATGACCTGGATTCCATGTCCGCTGCTAGACCCCCACATCGCACAAGCCCTACGGCCTGAAATCTCCTTTCTCTCGTGAGCCAAAGTGATCAAAGCACCCAAAAACATAGAGGCAAAGTGCCCCGCTCAGAAGCCAAGCTGCAACGTCTTGCAGGTAGAGCGCGTGAGATAGGCAAACTGAGAGAGGTCGCCAAAGCCCTAAGAGAAAACTCTGAGTCTCTGTTGAAAACAGCCATATTGCACCTCCAAATCCAGGGACATCTCCCGGACTTTGTCTTTGGGCAGCTTCTGCGGAAACCTTGTGAAATTGATCCATCCAAAGTTCCCCAACACAACAGCTGGGCCCCAGCGAGTAGTTGGAGCCCGACACTGAAGCTGCTGCACAGGCCTGCTCCAATGGGCCAAACAGAAAGAGAAAGTCAGAAAGTCAGAAAGTCCTAAGACGTCAGTTGCCTCATAGAAGAGGTGGTAGTTTCTCTCGCCCTCCTGCTGGTCACACACGCGGACCTGGAAGCGGCAGCTCTCGTCAGTCACGCTCCGCACGCTTCACGCCTTTTCCAGCAAGTAGGTCTGAATCCGGGCGCCACAAAGGCGGCAGTTCTCACCCGCCATCCCCAAGGAGGCGGCATCCTCTGTCCGTGACTCCAGGCGTGACTCGATGCAAAACAGAAAAGAAAAAAAGAAAAAAGAGAAAACGGAAAATCCGAACCTTTCCGTTCATCGTCCGGCCTTGCCGCTGCCCCGAAATTGCAGCTCGATGAACTTCCCAAAGCGACTGGAGTTGTCGTTCCTGCGCGCAACAGGCTGGCAGCTCGACAGGGTGCCATCCTGTCCTCAAGGTGCGAGCATTCCCAAAGGCTTCGAGAAGAGGGTTGGACTCGAGGACTTGCTTCTCTACCTGCCAAGTGCACTTGTGCACTTGCGAGGTCAGAAATCATTGCAGGAAATCTATGGACACACATGGGCACGTTTTTGGACCATGAGCGAGTCCAGCAACCCACTCCCATGTTGACCAGACTGGAATGCTAGCCGGATTTCGTGAAGTCTGAGCAAAGAATGGCAGCCGTACATTTGTCACTTCGCCATTCTCGGCCCCTGCCATTGCCAGAAACTTCCTCGGAAACGCAAGGGCAATGTCGACAGGCTCTCAATGATAGCCCGAGACTAGCCCGAGACTAGCCGAGTCGCATGACGAATTTTGTGGTCTCTGTCTTTCCGGCGCCGGACTCGCCGCTGATAAGAACTGTCCTAATCCCAGGACTCTGGGGACTCCAAGTGAACAGAAGCGGAGAGTGCAGTGAAGTAAGTCGTGTAAGTCGCAGACTGGCTCTTCTTGCGGTCGCAAATGCCGCGGTATGTGGCATTTGCCGTGTTGAAGACGTGCCTGGAATTGAAGAATTCAAAAGCCTTGCTTTTGGCGAACACAAGAAATCAAGAAAGTCCGGCTCTTTAGCAAAGTCGCGGCTTGGTGGATGGCTTGGTCGTCATGAAGCTCTTGAGAATCTGATCGATCGATGTCAATTAGCTCAAAATACGCAAACGACATGAGTTTGGAAATGGAAATTCATCGACACGGACTTGTGGAAACTTGAATCCGATTGCCGTGTCTCGAGGCCGCAGCATCTTCGTCGTAGAGCTTCGGGATCACCTTGAAGGGGTTGAGCCTGAGTCGCGAAGCTGACGAAGCTGACGGAACTCAACGTATTTCACGCAACGGAACTTCGAACGGCACTAGGTTCCGTATTGGCTGCGGTCGGCTAAACGGCCGAAAGGGCCCGGCGCGATGAGAATGGGACCCGTGAAGGTGTAGATCTTGTCGATGTCGAAGCGATTTTGCAGGGAGCTCAGTACCTGCCATGCCCGCCTTGCCCTTTAGCCCCACCTTCTGGGAGGTCACAGCAGGCTCGTGCAAATGGGTGAGCTGGCACCTCAAGCGGAAAAGTGTTACTAAGTTGAAATATATTGCAGAAACACATCGGACGTGTCACATGTCGCATCACGCAGCGTTTGATGCATTCTGGTCGGAAGCATTTGCCAAGCGGCAGGTCGTCTAACACAGAGAGGCCCTCAGCTGTGAACACGTCCGTGGTCCTGGCCAAAGTGCGGAATGCTGAATGAACAGAGCGGGACACGCAAACTGGCTCTCCTGAGAAATATGGGCTCATGTGGCCCCAGCACGATCCGACTGTTGGGATCCTCTGCAGTCTTCACCTAAGCCAGGCACTCCGAAACTGGACAGCTTTGCATGTTCTGGGCTCTGTGCAATGATCTCCTTCTCGGTTGCGGTAACAATCTCCGCTTGGACCCAAACCTAAGCACGATTCCTTTCCACCTTCTGAGATCAAATCCCATCCGCCTCCTCTTCATGTTTGATCCAAATCTCCGTGCCCTCGCCAGCCGCACAAGGACCGTCCGGGACCGTCCGGGACCGTCCGGGACCGTCCGGGACCCACCGGCGACCCACCGGCGACCCACCGAAACCGAAGCCGAAACCGGGACACTTTGCCTGCGCATACGTCTGATTCTGCATGGCGTCACACGACACGTGTCCGAAACACAGACGGGCCGGGCTAAAGGACCAGCGAAGGAGTCTCTGGCGTCTGGCTGTGGCTATCATTCTGCTGATTGTTGCTCCGTTGCTTCGTTGCTTCCCGCAGTCCTGACAGCCTGACTCTGTTCAAATGCACAGTGTGGCTGTTCATCTGTGAAGCTATGCGGCAGGCGAACCGGCGAGCTTGCCACAAGTCACAGCAAAAGCAAACAACAATGTATGCGGCTGCACGACGCAAGTCTGCAACGGCCTCTCATCTGTCGCCCTGACGGTCACGCATGTTAACCGTGGATAAACCACTTGCCATTGAATGAGAGGGCTCCTGTGAAAGTTCTCCTCGAGCACTGAGGATCACAGCATTTGGAGCAGGCACCTTAAATGAAGCTTTAAGCACTCAAGCATTTGCGCAAGTCGAACGAGACAACTTGAAAGCAAGATCTTAAGGTAGAGACCTTGGCATCCATCTGGCAATGCACTGCCAAAACTGTAAAGCATTTATGGCCAGCCAATTGCCTCGTAGTCACAGTCCCGCCGAGGTGTCGTGCGGAATTCTTCCTGTTCACAACTCCCCTTCTTGCGTTCACGGCTTTTGCCTGCGCCTCCCCTCGGCATGGTCTGAAGGCGCTGATGCAAGTGGACCTTAAGCCGCGTACATGCGTGCATCGCGCATGCAGTCGCGCGCAGGCAGGCCGCAAGGCCGCAAGGCCGCAAGGTGCCGGCAAGCCCATGGTTCCCAGGGGCTCTTTCGGCTCTCGATCGAACCTCGACTCTGACTCCAGCTCGTGTGAGTCTCTCGCTTCCCGTCGCCTCCGGGGTGTGTCTGAGGCTTTGGACCTGAGTCGGTCTCGGATTCCGGGTATGAGTGCTTGTGCATTAGAGGTCCACAGCAAGCAAGAAGGGCATGCAGCCGGGGCATTTTGTTGCGTCGAGGGGGCACAGCACGGAATGTACGGGGCATGAAACAAATGCGCGCCGCGGCTCTATTGCACGACCATTTACACAAATACAATTTTCTCATAGAGTGGAGTCCATTACCCATTCAACCTTTTGATTGATCATCTGGCTTCCAGCTCAATTTCTCTCCTTGTTTTCTTCTCCAAATTCTTCACATCTTCTAATGTGTCTATTCTGAATTCATCCATTTCTTCTCTTTGCATTTCTTTGCTCTTCTTTTCTCTCGCGAGCGCGCGAGGCTTTGGCCCCTGCAACGTGGCCAAGGCATCGCAGCGCTCCGAGGCCATCTGCGCGGCCAAGGACTTGGAGAACGGCATGCGAAATGCAAATCCCGATCAATCCTGATAGGTGAAAGCCAAGGCATTTCATATGAATGAATTCAAGATCTTTGGCCCAGGCCGGGTACTCGCCTTCGTCGCTCCTAAACGAATGCCGGTGTCTACCAAGCGAGCGACGAGTGAGGCCCCGGCCACCCCTCCGGGCTTCGGCTCAGCTCGCTGCGGCGTTTCCGCAAGGCCTCGATCAAATGGTTGCCCGACACCGGGTGTGGCCTGCTAATTGTTGCCTGCTGTTGCTTAGCTTCAGTGCCTCTCTTCAGTGGCTCTTCAGTCTCTTCCCTGCCCCGCCTGGATGTAGGGGTTCTCCATGATCGACTCGCCCGTGGGGCTCGGGGCTTTCCTGGGCTCAGAGCTGCCGAACTTGTTCTTCAGCCTCGCACGCAGCACGTCTCACCGTCTCAAAAGACGCAGCTGAGCTTGTGACTGGCTGGCCAAGTCCACGAACTTGGTCTCGTTGAAGAAGTTGTCCAACGGGTCCTGCGTCACTGCGTCTTTCGGATTTCTGAGTCTGGGGTTTCTTGTTCGGAACTCGGCCGCCTTGCCCTCATCATCCGGAATCTCGCGTCTCAGCACGCTGAAGGTGATGGGGAAGCCCTGGCGGAAAGCTGGGCGAATAATGGACTTGCACTTGCTCTTGCTGACATGCCCATTCATTTCGAGCTGCCTTTGCAATGCAAAGTCAGAAATAGAAAACGCATATGTCTTTAGAACTTTCATGACATGTTAACTTGCTCTGTCTTCGATTTGTTCGCAATCATCTTTCTGCACCGCTTCACTTTTCCTTTCTCTCGAGTCGCCTTTCTATCCAATTGCTTCGTCTTTCTCCTCCTTTCTCTCGTCTCTCCTTTTCTCTCGCCTCTGTCTCGTTTCTTCCCACTCGTCGTCGCTCGTCGATTTTTCTTCTCTCGTCGCTTCTTCCTTTATCTCTCTTCCCGTCTTTCCCCTCCCGTCTCCTGTACTCGGCATTCTCTATTTCTCTTCTATTTCTCTTCTATTTCTTTCCCTCTTTCCTTCCATCCTCCCTTCTCCATTCCTCCCATTCCCCGCTGCCGGATCATCCCGGATCATCCCCCTCTCTATGTCCCGCCTGGAGCTGGGCCGCGAGGAAGCGCTCCAGGAACTCCTCGAAGGCGGCCACGCGCCGCCCGTTGATCTCCACGATCTGATCCCCAACACGCCTCGGACGCAAAAGTAGACTAGGGAAGAAAAACAAAAGACGAGACGAGAGAAACCCAAAGACGAAAAGAGGAGAAAATTGAAGAGGACGAGAAAAACGAAAAGAGGAGAAAGTTGAAGAGAAAAGGAGAAGAAGTAGAGAAAAACAAGGATGGCAAATTTGCAATGTGCTGTCGCGTTGGGGCTTCGTTGGGGCTCCAGCCAGCCGTGGGTGGCAGCATCTTCACTACAGAAGCCCACCACTGAGGTGCCATGTAGCAACAAACCCAAGGTGCCGTCCTCGCATGCAAGCAACACACAAGTCACACACAGACACGCACGCTCCACACTCTCCTGTAGCAGCGCCTCCACACTCACTTGGCGTAGGCGAAAGCATTCGCCTCAATGCAGAGCGCGGTTGATTGCGTGGGAACAGTGTAGGAACTGTTGTGGGAAGAGTGTGGAAACAGATTGGACCTGTTGAAGAGAAATGGCCCAATGCCCGTCTCTCCCACCTGACTTCATGGGTTGCTCTGGCACCACTTCGCGGTCCTCGCAAGAAATATAGCAACATGCTTGACGAATGGCCCGTCTCTCCTCTGGTAGCATTGACATGCCACTTCGTCCCTGCGCGTGGATTAGAAAGTGAATGAAGGCGACCAAAGCAAATTCAAAAGCCTTTGGCCCGCGGGACAGCAGGAGAGGTCCTGTCACAAGCCGCCATGCTAGAAAGAAGCAAATGCGCGCACAGCCTGCAGGCACGCGGTTTGGCACCTTGCCAGCCGTGCAGTCGTTCAACAAGGGGCTGCGACCAACCCCAAGGTGCACCGGCTGCTGTTTCGGCGAGTGTGGAATGGAGCTTTCATCCTCCTACAGAAACAAGTGACTCACATGGCGTGTTTGCCTCAGCACGGCGCGTCTCCTCACTGCGCTTTCGGGGCGCTGGCATCTGGCGCAATGCAATGCGCTCGCCCTCTCTCAAACTCATCTTCAAAGCTAGTCACTTCACTTCCCTTCCTGCGCAGCTAGCGCATAGCGAGCGCGTGCTCCCGTTGCCTTCTGTCACAGCATGTTACTGCTTGTTGCCCCATCTTACCGCACGTTCCGTGTTGCAGTTCATGCTGCACGAAATGTTTGTCATTCCTGAAAGCAAATGCGGACCGACACGCCGTCACGCCAGTGCCTTGACTGCCTGGACTCATCGCTCTCATGGCACTCTCATTGCTCTTTGCAAGCTTTTGCAAGCTGCACGCTATGTACAACGCCATGAAGCGGCCCGTGCAACTTTCGGCAGGCCGGATTCTGCGCAAGTCTGAGCACTCGCTGCACTAGCTGGAAGCAAGGCGCTTGGGCCAACATGGCCAATTCAGGGACTTTAAACTTCAATGCTCGAAATCAGCAAAAGAAAATGAAATCCCGTTGGGACCTTCTGTCCCAAAGAGGGCCCATACGTGGGAGCCATCTCAGCTGAAAGACCTGCAAACGCCACATATCATATGCGACATATCAGCTCGCAATTTCACAAGGCCCAATTGACATGCGAACATGCGTTGTTTGAACCTTGCATTTTGCTCATTGCGCGCTGGGGGGAGAAACAAGCGTCGGACAAAGAATTGTTGGGCCAGGACCGAACGTGAGCATCATGCGCAACTGATAGCGCTGTTTAATTGTACGGTTGCATCCTTCTTTTGTTCGGGGCCAAGTTTAATTTGGCGAAGTACACCACTATCGCGCGTCTTGGCCCGCTTCTTCTTCTTTGCTCAAGGCCACGAACCCGAACGCAGATGCAGCCCCAAAAGAATTCCCAAAGACATCCCCAGTGACATCCCGAAGATACCTGCAATGACAAGCCTCAATTGAAGCCCCGATGCCACCAACGTAACGACAGCGAGTCCGGCTTCCGTTTCGTTCCAAGGCATCCCCATCCCAAGCAATCCACAAAGACATCGACCCCAAAGACATGCCCCCAAGACACCTTCGGGAGGCATCCGCAAAGACATCCACGAGCGACATCACTTAAGAAACTGAACAGCCTCAAAGACATTCCAAGACAGACCGATACTCTCCTGCCAGAAGACCGGGCACTTTTGCTGGACCGGGTGTGGACCCAAACGGTGAGAACTTTCTTTTCTCTTGCCAGGCTAGATTCTCAATCACGAGGCTTCAGCCAAATTGCTGGCACAATCGCTCGTCAGTGGATGTGTGGGACCAATCACACACACAACAAGAAAGCTCAAAAGCCGGAAAATCCCGCACGCAAATAAATTTGGGGTACGCCCATGAAACAGTCGGCGCAGACAGTGTTGCACAGCGACTTGAAACACGAAAAGACATTGACTGCGCAACATGAGCACGGTGAGACATTCCGGAGATGTCTCTGGAGCGAGAAGCAAGCATCAGAAATGAAACGTCGCCCTTCTTTTGGCATCTTGCCGAATGGAAGCAACCACCAATATGCTGACGATCTGCATCGCGTTGGCGTCGTTTCTGGCTTGTTGAGTCTGAATTGTTCGGAGGGTCTGACTTGGGGTTGATGTCGCCCAACAAAGGGAGATGCCAATCGCTGTCAGCACTGTCTAGACGTAGGCAATCGTTGCTCAATAGCTTGTGCGCGGGCTAAGTCGAATTGGGAGACTTGTTTGGGTTTCGCCTTTCCGCCATGAGTCTTGGACCAGTGGAATTGGCGTGTGACCAGGCCGTCGAGATTTCTGCGCCGCTTTGGTTTCATATTTTTTCAAAGATGCAATGACGGCGCTCAGCGGAAATCTCGAGAACCGAGATTCTGGTCTTGTTTCGATTTGAACAATCCATGACAAACTTCAAGTCCACAATCGAGGTAAAGAAACCGGCCTTCGCCAGAGGTACGGACAGTGACATCCTTGAGCGGATCCCAGAAAGATCACACGTATAGTAAACCAACCCCCCTACCGGATTGTATCTGACATTGCGGCTTGTCCATGCGTCGTAAGCAGTTCAGCGGGCAGTAACCAAGATGTCCCGGACTGAATCGCCCCCGCAGCGATGCCCAGCTGTGTTCAGGTTTTGCAGCTCGGTCAGAAGCTCCCCAAAAAGGAACGCGCCGCTTCTCCCGGCCAAATCAAGTATAAAGGCCGAGAAACGCACGACAGCTGGGAAAAGCACATTTGCCGCGAGTAATGACTCATCGTCCCCAACGCAGCCCTGACAATCTACGCGCGAAATCAAGTTCTGGGGCATCGATCATGGCGAGATCGCCGACAACGAGCTCCGGTCTCGAGAACTGCTGCAAGATTCACTGACGGGAAGGGGAAGGCCCGGCGCTGAAGTTGTTGACTTGGATGTGACAACCATGGCTGGCGTAAGCGCCATTGTCCGGCACGATGAGCAGGAATGGGATGAGCCTGCGTGTTGGGTGGTGGAAGAGGGACGAATCCATTTGAGGTGGAGGTACCGCTGGAGGATGTAGGTACAGGACGCAGAGCTGGGCCACGCACGGCTGTGCGCGCTTGGTGTATCGTTCCTGCACAGCCTGGTCGACATGTCGAATGTTCCAGGCATCTGCTGGCAAATCATGATGGTGAGGCACTGAGACAATCGGGAAGCGTGTCACCATAATGCACACGACGGAAGACCGCAGCTGACGAGCCTGAGCGCTAACTGCAGCACACGAACTCAGCACAATCACCCAAAACATGTCAAGCAGCAAAAGTGCACGATCAGGCACATCTTTGTAGCATGTCAATCCACAACACAAGCGCGCATCCACTCATGCCGTTCAGAATGTTCGCGGTGACTGTTGAAATGTCGTCTGGTCATGAAGAAACTCATTCAGATCAGGTAGCCGATCACGAAGAGAAACAAGATGTCGGAAAAAAAGAAGAAAAAAAATGGGAAGAGTAAATGACATCGCGCGGCGACGCAGCCTCGTACAAGCGCAGCGCCTGGAAGAAGTGCGGCGCATCTCCATGTTGTTGTAAGAAGTCGCTGCGGGGACTCCCGTGAAGTTGGAATCGATGCGCTGCGGGACTCAAGATGAGTCTCATGAGGCTGGCACTGCTGGACGAAGTCGGGAAAGCAAAACGCGGAAACAAACACAAAAGTCTCAAGGAAGCTCGATAGAAGAACGCCATCTCACTACGTCATCAAGAGTGCCACTACGTTGAACATCAACGCATTGATTTTCTCAACCATGGGATGCTGGAAACATGCAACTCACACAAAGCACCTCAAAGCTTTGCCTTTTGGGCAACTGTCATTTGCCCCATTCCAGACTCAGAGTCTCGCTCCACCACAACCTTTGCCTTGGACTCATAGCCCGGACAAGTCCGTGTTATTCTCCAGGCCTTTCCCCTTTGCGTGTTGGACTTCCTCAACTTCCTCCGCCTACACCCTGGCCTTTTGAGGGGCATCCAGCATCAACCAGTACCGGAGCCAGGCCCTTCGAAGTGGCCTGCGCTGACCGGCAAAGCAACGGGATAATCGCAATTGAGGAGAACCTCAGCTTATCCGTAAATTGCCTCCATCGCACGACGGCCGTGTTAGTTGGCTCCGGTATGAAGATCGGGCGACGTGTTCTAGAGCCGCATCGACAAGGACCCTCGGCAGCAAGAACCGGCTCACCGGTGTCTTGAGCGCAAGTTTGGTCATGTCCTAACCCCCAGACCCCCAACCTGCTCGCGTTTAGCAAACTCAAGGAATGCCCGGACCCCGTCTCTGTCAATGCTGGTCGCCAGCTGTCAGCATCCCAGAATGTCCTAGCATGTCATGGATATGCTTCAACACAAAGAATTAGCATCTGTTGTCTCAACAGAAACGGTTGCCAGCATCAATGCGCGAATTGGATATGAAGGAAAACTGATTGTTTGGCACATGGTTGGCAGCACCAAAAACCAACCAGCACTCCAACACCGAAGCCAGCTGGACACAAGGAACTCTTGGGACGCAATCCCTACCTGTGCTTTTGGCTCCCTCGGCAGTTGACGCTCAGCGGCAGAAATGCATGCCGTGTAGGCTCATGGCCAAGAGCACTGCAGGGTGTGGTGGATTCGGTGTGGCTTTATTCAGAAGACTTCAGCGCTGCTTGCAGGAGTATCGTTTTGGGTGGGGCGTCGGCCTGTCACAGTCATTTTACCGGGTACGGCAAGTATTGCAAGCAAAAACCTTCGTGCGGAAAACAAAGACCTCTCGCCTTTCACCCGGCGCGCCTTGCCCGGCGGTGCCTGGCGTCTCTTCTCTCCTGGCTGCGCAAGGGCATCGCTGATCTTGACATTCCATCTGGCCTCTCGCCGGGCTGGGCGCACCTGGGACCCGCGACGTACTGAGTTGTTGCTAATGAGGGCTTCTTCATTTTTCTGCAACATCTCGGGCAAAAACGCTTGCAATAGGCGCCACTGTTATCACACCCGGCGAGTCGACCTGCAATGCACTCCGCAAGCAATGGCTATGCAATGCGAAGGTGTGCTGCTCAAATTGACAGAGCGTCCGCGGTCTAAGACACATAGCCGTCCGCAAACCAGGCCAGCAAATCATCACACTTCACGTTCACGACATCTCCCTCTACCTAAGGCTCATGGCCATGTGCACACATGGCAGCGTGTGAGTGTGTGTGTGTGTGTGATGTGTGTTCGTGATGTCTGTGTGTGTGATTAGGCGGCAGCCGATTGAAGAGTGCCTGTAAACCATCGGCCCTGGCACACTCTTTTTGGGGGCAGGTGCGCCATTGCTCTCAAATTTCGACCTCGTACTCCACCTCCACACGGTCGCCGGCGATGGGCCTGTCAGCCAGACCCTACCAGAAAAGGCCTTGCAAAAAGAAGAATCCATATGTCATATGACACAATGATGTCCACCTCCGATTAATGAAAGAATAAGGCTACATGATTGCTTTAAATCATCTAGAATTCAAAGTGACATGTTTTGGAGTTGGAGCCCAGGAAGCTTAGCAATACTGCCTTTGAATTGCTTTGTACTACGGTCAGGGTACAAAAAGTCGGGCAATTCTACTCCTGATTTGGTGCTGTATTGCGGGTCAAATTCCAGTTTGGCAATACTGCTTTAAAAGGGCAATACTTCTCTTGAGTTGTTTTATAAGTCAAGTTCCAGGAAGCTTGGCAGCACTCTTCAAAAGGGGCTACTTTTGAAAAGCTTTTGCATTTGCGTCCATTTCCAGGAAGTTGCCTAGATCATTAACTTTAGGGACAGCGCTTTGTGGAAATAGTGCGCCTTTAAAAAGGGCTTCAAGATTCTGATATTTGGTTGTCATAAAGGGGAGCTGACAATGCCACCAACGATTTGGAATCAGTGGGTGAAACATGTTTGGAGGGAACGCACTCTTAGCTTTGTTTAGGGTATGGTGTATTTAGTGCAAATAACCGTATGCGGGTTACCCTTGGCTGATTGCTTCACAATGCTTTTTGGATAGGCTTTAAATAAAGAAATCATCATGAAGATGGACACCTAGAACTTGTGCTTTTTGTTGGCTTCTGGACTTGGTCCTAGAAAACGGGGTTCGGCATGGTCCATTTTTTCTAGGGGACAAAAGCTTAACTTTAGCTAGGGGTATTGTTTGTTTCTGGGGTGCGCTTAGCTTTATTCTGAGTGTTCTATTCATCATAGGTGGACATTATGAGTCATATGAAGCCATACATGGGATCATATGAATCCACTCATTTTGACTTCGGCCGGCGCTGGGCATTCTGAGGAGACCTTGGTGCACGGATCAAGAGCGAAGCAAACACGAACGTCACGCAAGCCTGGAGATAAGCCGCCTGAAATGAGTCTGCGGGTCGAAACTTGGCGGCGGCCTCACGAAGCTCACGAAGCGCCGGCCCTAGAAACAAGAAAATCTGGCAACGCTCGCCTGAATTCAACTGCGGGCCATTTTGCCACCACGACAGCCTGGCGGGACAGCGAGTCGCGCAGGCGCAGGCATGCTGCAATTCTGCAGAAAGCCATGCAAGATCACGCGCGCTCCTGAGCTGTTTGCCGGTGAACCAAAAAGATGGCTGGCTCGGGCATACCCATGCTGGCGGAGACCACCTGGCAAGTCGCAAATGGAGCAATGAGCAAATGCGAAGCTTCAAAGCGACAGATGCAATGGAAAAAGCATGCGAAGAAATCCGAAGACGTGCGAAGAAATCCGCAAACATCGAAATCGACGTTGGAATTCGGAGCCTCGGCCCCCAGGAGCTCCCAGGTGCTGCAGAGCCTCTGAAGTTCTGCCTCGTCAATGCCTCGCGTCGAGGACGCCCCGAACTGTCGCCCACATTTTCCGCGCGCAACACCAAAACACCCGGGCACCGCCAAAGCACAGCGACGTGCGACACCGCTCCACTTTCAACAGCGGAAAAGTCGATTTGTCAAAGATTCAGCAGACTTGTTACATTGTTCGCCCGGCATTGCCCGGGGTTCCAGCGAGCCCGCAGGTTGTGCTTAGACATGGGAAACTCACTTTACACAAGAAGCATGCGGCCTCTTTTCTGAAGGTACCCTTTGGGGTGGTTTTAAAGAAAAACAGGACAACCACCAAGATTGGAGGCTGGCCTCTTTTGAGACAAACCCAACTAATGTCAGACGCCGCTTCCTTCGACAAAAGGTGGTAGCTCAACAATTCGTACATGGATGAGCGCCAACTGATGTCACAAGACAACTCAAGGCCAACTTAGTCCAACCTGTGATCGATCGAGCCCCCTCCCCCCCCAAACAATCAAGCTCCCTCAAGCTACTGATCAGCCACCAAACATCTGGTTTAGAGTTGCAATCTGCGCAATGTTGAGTCTCCATTTCATTTAGCGTAGCTGGGTTTGAGTTGCCAACTTGATTTCGTGCTAAGACTTGTGCCAAATAGCTTGCTTGCGTCTGAGGCTGAAACTGCCTGGGGGGCAGCTGCCACCAATCGCTGCTTTGGGGGACCCCCTATGTGTTCCACATGTACAATGCCTGATCCACCGTCAGGTCATGCCAATGAGATCAGGTTCGTTCCTCTGAAAAAGCCAAATGCCTACAGAACAAAGAAGCCATTTTTTCGGTTGAATGAGATTGGATTTCCTACCAATTGTGGATGTTCGATGGGTGCTCAGATTCAAATTTCAGAGCTGCCTCATATACATTCGCCTGAGCTTGCCGATATCTGGTGTTCAATCATTTTGACCAAATTCCTGCCAAATTAGCCCAGCACCTCTCGTCAAAGCCGGGACTTCTTTTGTTGCTTTCCTTACACAAATGCGATGCAAATGATAGCCAACCACGGCTCGCTGATTTGGTCACGTGTCGGGCCTCTGCGCCGCGCGTCCGTCAGCATCTTGGAGATCTCGGCCTCGAAGCAAATCTGATGCAACTCTCCGCTTGCCATCTCCGCTCCGCCTGCAACTCCAGAGGCACAGAAAGCTTCAAGCCCGACTCTCCGAGCTGCCAGGTCACCTGGAAACCGAGTCGAAATATGAAATCAACCGAGTCGACATTGCCCTGCCATGCGGTGTAGCACTACACGGCGACCTGCACGTGCAAGATAGGCAGCCAGCTTTCGCAAGCATCCCACCTCCAACTTGAACTTCACCCTGGCAGCTAGCTGCGACAGAGACAAACAAAAGGGCGACCCGGGCGACCCGCCTCTCCATTGCCGCATTCAAAGACCACTTGTCGCTGGAGGTGGGCAGCTTGCACCAGCCACTGGCGCGTCTCTTTCTCCCGATATCCCGGATATCCCGGATATCCCTGGGGCCCTCAAGTGTTGCACTTCTGAATTTTGACCTTGGCCTCATAGAGAGAGCGAAGCTCGTATTGGGGATCCACCAAGCTCCCGGCCTGAAAAGCAACCGAAACGATCGAATCCAATTTGGATTAGTACATGTTTTCTTCGCCGTCTCCTGGATCTTCTTGGGCACGACGGAAGCGTCGGCGCCCAGAGCCTGGACGCGAAGCACGAGAGACGTCTCCTTGTTTCTTGCTTGCCGCCTCTGTTTTTTTTACGCCGGACCTGCAGGCCTGCAGGCGCAGTCGAAGTTGCTGGGCCCGGAACTGCGCCGCCTGCACCTCGCAACGTCGGAAGTCGGAAGTCGAAGAAGTCGAACGGACGGAGAGATACGGAGACATGGATCCGAGCGCCGGGATCGACCGAAATCTTTCTCCGGGCCTCGGCCTTCAGCTGCTCCGCCTCGAGCTGCTTCCCCCGCAGCCCTGACACGGAGCAACGGAAGCGAGCGCCTATGCAAACTTTCCGAGTTCCGTCCCCAAGCTGCCGTGCTCAGCCTTTTTTTATGCTCCTATGCTCTATGCGCGCCTGGATGCACCACGGCCATTTGTGAAGCTATGAAGCTAGAGCCAGGCTGGTCAAGCAGGTTTCTCTGACTCTTACCAAAAGTGCAGCTAGAGCGGCCGCGCGTTTCCACAGGCACGTTCGAAAGTCTCTTGGCAGCTTTTGGAATTACGCCTCTTCCTTCTCAGCCTTCTCAGCCTTCTCTGTCTTGGCCTTCTTGAGTGCAGCGCCGAAGAACTTGGCCTTCTCCTCGCTTGTCTGGAAGCGTCCGTGACCAAACTTGGAGGAGGTGTCGATGAACTTCAAGGTCACCTTCTCCAAAGCCTTGCGGCTGACTTGTGGCAGGAGGGACTTGCGAAGGGTGATGAGGCGCTTGCGAGGGCCCATGACGGTGCCCTTCAGCATCACCCAGTCCTCGTTGACCTCACCATAGTGGGAGAAGCCACCCATGGGGGTGATCGCCTTCTCAGTGAGATCATTGTCAGTCCGAGCGTTCGCCGGGTCATCCTTCAGGGATTTGCCGATCCGGTAGATCTTCTTGTTAATCTCAGTGCGGTGGTGGTATCCTCGCTGCCCAGAGCGAGGCACCTGGAAGGAAACCCGAGCAGGGTGCCAGGATCCAATGCAGGCCACCTTTCGCAGGCCACGGTGTGACTTCCTCACCAATCGAGTCACTCCCCAGCGGGTCACCACACCATTAAAGCCCTTGCCTTTGGTGGTACCCACAATGTCGATTGTCTCGTCTTGGCTGAAGCAGTCAGCGATTTTCACCTCCTGCTCAAAAAGGTTCATCGCAAAATCCACCTTTTGCTCGGTGGTGCCGCCATTCACCTGGATCTCCTTGATGTGGGCCTTCTTCTGGCCAATCTTCACTTTGCGAACCTGGGTGTGACAAATGGCTCGGATCACCTGGCAGTACTTCTTCGCCCTTTCCACCTCAGCCTGCATGGGGGTGCCCTCCTTGCTAGCTTCGCTCCATCGCTTCTCATATTTTGTGAAGGCCTTGTGCTTGCGGCCCTTCCAAGTCTTGTAGAAGCGGCGCTTGCACTCTTCGGACAGGTGGCCAGCCCAAACAGATGTCAAGGCACGAAGGCCGCGGGGAGTCTCCACATAGCCAACAAAGCCAACCACCACCATTGGCGGACTCTCCAGGATGGTCACGGGCTCAACGATCTCCTTCTTGTGCAGTTTGGAGCCTGGCCTATCTACCTCTCGCACAATGTGTGTCATGCCTGCTTTGTAGCTCATGAAGGCTGTGAGATGTGGCGGCTTCGCCTGGTCATCCTTCGGAAAGCTCTTGATCTTGCCATGGTGGTGCCTCGCAGTCTCACTGAGACGTCGAAACACTCCGAGACACAGCAACACATTGCAATACATTGCAATGCTCAAAGACTCAAAATCAGAGCGCACGGCAAGCTTCACACCTGCCTGGTGCGCTTTCTGGGAAGAAACCCCAACGATCCATGTCGAGGCCGCTCGAACTTTCGGTGCGACATGGCTACGAACGTGCCTGAACCGAAACCCTGCAATGCACGCTGCTTGGACTGCAAACTCCACAAGCTTTGCACTATCGCTTGGCTTAAGTCGCTTACACCAGGACAACAAATTGCCGTGTGTGGCCAATGCTCTTACGTCTTCAATTCCCGCAAAGATGTTGTGTGGGACTGTTGCCACGCGCAAGTGTGTAGATATGGGGCGCGTAGATGTAGGATGTGTGATATTGTGGGATATGAACATACAATATGTAGATTCCGCCTGTTTCTTTGCAGTTTCAAAACATAGCACAAGCAAAACTGCCATCTATCTTACACGCATCTGGGATGCAGCCCATGTCTACCATGCGTTCAGACTAGGCTGGTCAACGCTAGTCTCACAAATCCATGAGACTGTGGTGTGAGGTTCATACTCGCCGGCAATCAAACACTTCAAGCAAACAACTTCCAGTCATGGATAGTTTGCGGCCTTTTTTTTGAAATTGTGATGTTTGATTGCCACGCCTAGTTCCCAAATGGTACCGTGCTTGAATCACCAAGGTTGTGCTGCGGACCAGTGTCTCGTTGCGCTAAACATCGGAGTCCGCTAGAGTCCATGAACCGAGCTTGGTTCTCAGGCCTCTGGAGACTGCGCAAAGCTTAGTACAAAAGCCTGCAAATATGCAATCCAGTGTCTTAGGTGTAAGGCTTCTCTGACTCTTACCAAAAGTGCAGCTAGAGCGGCCGCGCGTTTCCACAGGCACGTTCGAAAGTCTCTTGGCAGCTTTTGGAATTACGCCTCTTCCTTCTCAGCCTTCTCAGCCTTCTCTGTCTTGGCCTTCTTGAGTGCAGCGCCGAAGAACTTGGCCTTCTCCTCGCTTGTCTGGAAGCGTCCGTGACCAAACTTGGAGGAGGTGTCGATGAACTTCAAGGTCACCTTCTCCAAAGCCTTGCGGCTGACTTGTGGCAGGAGGGACTTGCGAAGGGTGATGAGGCGCTTGCGAGGGCCCATGACGGTGCCCTTCAGCATCACCCAGTCCTCGTTGACCTCACCATAGTGGGAGAAGCCACCCATGGGGGTGATCGCCTTCTCAGTGAGATCATTGTCAGTCCGAGCGTTCGCCGGGTCATCCTTCAGGGATTTGCCGATCCGGTAGATCTTCTTGTTAATCTCAGTGCGGTGGTGGTATCCTCGCTGCCCAGAGCGAGGCACTTGGAAGGAAACCCGAGCAGGGTGCCAGGATCCAATGCAGGCCACCTTTCGCAGGCCACGGTGTGACTTCCTCACCAATCGAGTCACTCCCCAGCGGGTCACCACACCATTAAAGCCCTTGCCTTTGGTGGTACCCACAATGTCGATTGTCTCGTCTTGGCTGAAGCAGTCAGCGATTTTCACCTCCTGCTCAAAAAGGTTCATCGCAAAATCCACCTTTTGCTCGGTGGTGCCGCCATTCACCTGGATCTCCTTGATGTGGGCCTTCTTCTGGCCAATCTTCACTTTGCGAACCTGGGTGTGACAAATGGCTCGGATCACCTGGCAGTACTTCTTCGCCCTTTCCACCTCAGCCTGCATGGGGGTGCCCTCCTTGCTAGCTTCGCTCCATCGCTTCTCATATTTTGTGAAGGCCTTGTGCTTGCGGCCCTTCCAAGTCTTGTAGAAGCGGCGCTTGCACTCTTCGGACAGGTGGCCAGCCCAAACAGATGTCAAGGCACGAAGGCCGCGGGGAGTCTCCACATAGCCAACAAAGCCAACCACCACCATTGGCGGACTCTCCAGGATGGTCACGGGCTCAACGATCTCCTTCTTGTGCAGTTTGGAGCCTGGCCTATCTACCTCTCGCACAATGTGTGTCATGCCTGCTTTGTAGCTCATGAAGGCTGTGAGATGTGGCGGCTTCGCCTGGTCATCCTTCGGAAAGCTCTTGATCTTGCCATGGTGGTGCCTCGCAGTCTCACTGAGACATCGAAACACTCCGAGACACAGCAACACATTGCAATACATTGCAATGCTCAAAGACTCAAAATCAGAGCGCACGGCAAGCTTCACACCTGCCTGGTGCGCTTTCTGGGAAGAAACCCCAACGATCCATGTCGAGGCCGCTCAAACTTTCGGTGCGACATGGCTACGAACGTGCCTGAACCGAAACCCTGCAATGCACGCTGCTTGGACTGCAAACTCCACAAGCTTTGCACTGTCACGAGGCCAAGTCCAAGTTGTTGGCTGTAAGGACATTTTGCTTGCGGCCTATGTCATGCAAAGGGCACTGGCGACATTTGCACAGGCGACTTGCAGCGGACATTGGCATCTCGCCCGTGGTGAAACAGCTCAGCATCAGCCGCTGGGATCTGATGTCCTCTGACTCTCGGCGAAAGAGAACATTTGGAAAATTGTTGGGTCGGAGTCGAGTTGGCGGCCGCAGACTTTCAGAATGTCGCAGTTACGGAAATCGATCAATGTCCTTTGCATGGGGTGACTTTCACCGCCAAATGGGAAAAGTGACTCATGGTCATTTTGGGGCCAGGAGTATTGATCAGCTCCGAGTTGCCGTAGTCTGTTGCAAAGGAAACCTTTGGAGTGATAGTTTGCAGGATTCTGGATAAGCACAGTTAAACCCGTGCTTACTAAGGAAAGCCTTGTAAGGTTTCAGTTCTCTCAAACTCTTGCGTGCGTATTTGCGTATTTGTTCTTGCTTTACAGCCTGGTTCACGGTTCGGCGTTCGCGGTCTCACTTCTTTCCCCGCTTTGCGGGCCTTGAGAAGGGCTCCCAAACTGTACCGTCCTTAGCTTTTGCTTTTAGCGTTTCGCCTTTTAGCTGGTTTGTCTGGGTGCCTCACTTTAGAGGCGTAGTGTTGGCTTTTCGAAATTCCTATTCCACCGAGGTCCTTCGTGTTGGTCAATGGGGGCTTCTGCTTCCACCCCGAAGAGATCTAGTGGAAGCGTGCCAGGAAGGGCTGATCTCAAATAAACAAGGTTAGTACATGACTCAAGTATCAGGACAGCGAACAGGAGCAAGAAAACCAATCACAACGCTCACATGCTTGATTTGCTTGGCAACATGATTTCCCCTCCTTATTCCCCAGAGCTTCTCAATCCCCATCCCCGCGTCCAGAGCGTGATATTGTCTCGCAGCAGCTGCATCACAAGAGCCGACTCCTGGCAGCTGTCCCGCATGCGGGCCATCCTATGCCATGGCCTGCCCCGGACCCGCCCCGGGACCCGCCCCGGGACCCGCCCCGGACCTTGGCGCCATCCTCCCCGAGGTTGTCGATCTCACGGACGGCGTCCTCGAAGGCCTCGAACGCTTCCCCGACTTCGTGCTCCCCGGGACCCCGAAAATGCCCGGTGCCTTGCGGCCAATCCGGACAGCTTCCGTGGGAGCATTCATCACCTGCGAGGCACATCGAAACACTTAGACAAGGAAATCGATCGGAGACTCTCTATACTTGCCATGCCGAACTTTCTCATTTCCGGGCTGTCAGCTCTGAATCTGAAAATCGCTGGACATCCAAACGGTCTTCCCGGGATGCAGCGGCAGCAACTCCTTAAACCATTTCTGGCGCTCAGTCTCTGCCCTCTCGCAGATGAAGTAGTTCCTGAAGGCGCAAGCTGCACGGGCCAAAAACTAAAGAACAAGGGAAGAAAGGAAACAAAAGGAAAATGAGCAGAAAAAGACTAAATCATGATAAAGGAAAAGAGAGAAACGAACCTGGCCTCGATCCAGCATGTTTGCTGTAGAGCAGGGTCAGCAAAGCATCTGGTGCAACATCCGAATACGTCTCCGTGGAAAGGACGAGGATGTTCCGCCGAGCTACGCCAGCTCCTGGCGAACTGTCAGCATGGCCAGAAAATGCCAGCTTGCAAGCTCCAAATTGGTCCTGCCAGCTTGTTCTTGAGGGCGCTATCAGATCCTCAAATGCGCTCGAAAAGCAGTGCTAAGTCGGCTGCATTGACTTGTGACCCTGTCAACGTGTCTATCTGGCTAGCTTATGCTACCTTATGCTACCTTTGTGTCATATGCTCGGTGTGGCCAGGTTGCTTGGTGTATCGCGCACTTTGCGCCGCACCGCAAAGATTGCCGTCACTGCCACGCTGGACACCTCCACGAATGTCGCATTCATTGAGAAAACAAATAGAGTCGATAGAGTCGATAGAAAAAGCGAGAGAGAGAGAGAGAGAAGAGTGGCAACAGTGGCAACAGTGGCAACAGTGGCAACAGTGGCAACAGTGGCAACAGTGGCAACAGTGGCAACAGTGGCAAGGACCAAACACATCATGGTCTTGGCATAGCGAGCCTTCCGAATCCACTGCACCAGGCCATCCTAGGCGACTGGTCTGTAAACCCTATGTCACTATGCGACAGCCCTGCCTGGCTCACTGCATCCAATTTCACGAAGACGCGCACAGAGTCGACTTGAAAGCTCCTGGTTCGACACAAAGGGCATTTCCAGCCCGAATCTGCGAATTTGGTCCAGAAAATAGGATCCTGCACTGCAGTCTGCTATGTGTACTGCAACGGCGATGCTTGGCCACCAAATCTGTTGCCACCTGCTTTACGTGCAAATTAAGCTCAGCAAAGCCCAATCCAGTTGAACTGCTACACAGACCGGCTGACCGGCTTGCCCCTGCCTGCCATGAGAGCATCTCGAGCCAAACGGCGTGTCTTGGGACCAATTGGATCCATGCCGTGCGCTGTGCCGCTCCAAGGTGCCGCTCCAAGGTGCTCCCGAGCCTCGTAATAGAACACGGCGTGGTTCAAAGCCTGCACACCGAGCAGCACAAACAGCACAGCGAACAGCACAAGACACCAAACAGAACGGCAACACACAGCACAAGAGCACACCAAGAATTGCACCCGCATCTCAGCCGAGAGGCCAGTCCGAGGCGGAATGGGCTGGTCACCTTCAACGAGGTCTCGGCCACTTTGGTGCCATCCTGCGACTCACATCGCAGATCATGGAACCACAGAGATACACAGATTCAGGCTCGCTTTGTCCAAAGCGTGCATTGATCCAACTCCCCTTTGCCTCAATAAGATTGACTCAAGGTTGGCTAGGTTGCAGTTGCCAATTGAAGTAAAAGCGGAATGCTGCGCAATGTGACATCCAAATTCAATTCAATGTCTGTGTGTGTGCGTGTGTGTCAAACGACGTGCAATTTGGAAGCGGCCGTGTCCCGTGTCCAGCCACACCCTATTTGTGTTAAACACCCAAAGTAATTGGCGTTACACACGGCTTGAACTGATAGTGGCGCGAACAACAAACGATCTAGGGGCAAGTTTCCTCTGCGCATGGCTCATGGCTAACCGCATGGCCGGAAGCCAGAAAAAGCCGGAAGCCAATCGAAACCTCGAAGTGTCGGCCTCGTATGCTGCCTTCGCCGCCGTTGTGGATCGCGTCCGATCCATGTCGTCGCTGATTTCTGCCATGTACCTCACCCGAATCGGAAGAATTCAGCGAAAGGGCAATCGGCCTTGCAAGATTCGAAAAGAGGGACAGGCCGGACAGGCATGATTCCTTTTGTGCGCTCACCTGCCATGAGGCACCAAACCAACCTGGGACGGTGAACGGGGAGGCTTGTGAAAGCATCTCGGTCCATGCGCGTGGCCGGGGGAGTTACGTGGATATCTGTGAAACTCAACAGACGGGTTTTCTTCAAATTCATGCACGTGCCTACCAGGTCAGGTAAGACACGCGCAGTATGTGCCGGGCGACAGTCTAAACGGACTCGTTGCTGAATCATAGCTGCAACGGCACTTACACTTGCTAAATCGTTGTTGAATCCCGCAACGTAGCCGCTAGATTCGACGCGCATCGCGACACGTCCTGGTTGCGGCATCACAGTCGCTGAATAGGTGCGTGCAGTTTCCGAGTCGCTGCACTTCCGCTTCATCTAGACGCTATTGTCCAAGCTTGGCGTGGAAGACGCAAGCATCAACTTGAGAATTGAAGATTCCTGGCGATGCTCCGCGCTCGCTTCAAAGCCTGAGCGCGGAACTCGGCTAAGGGCTTTGCATGGCCAGGATGGGAGGATGGGAGGATGGGAGTGTGCCCTCAGGTGCAGAGCCAAGTTGCGCGTGGAGGCCTTGAGCATGTGGCGGATACGCCGGATACGCCTCATGGCCGCCACCTTGGAATGCATGATTTGCACATCGTAGCACGAGGGCAGGCCGAGTGACCGTCCTTGACATGGCGACGCTTCAGGAAATCCGGGCAGAAGCAGGAGTGCTTATGGCAGAAACCAGTTTAACCCAGGTCCGTGCAGCATGGGGGTAGAAGAATTTGTCATGTTGAGTGCGGTGTTGGACAATGTGATGGCGAAAAGAGGCCTTCAAGCACTCTGCTGGCAAGACCGAGGCTGAGAAATCGCGTCATGATAAGGCAGCAAGCTCAGCTTGCCCTTGACACCACGCGAGGTAGACAGCACCTCCGGATTGCACATGCATACAACCTTGGAACGTGGATCCAAGAAGCAGACAGACCTGACCGACAGCGGCGGGCACGAGGTGCTGCGGCCGGCAAAGCCGCTAAGCCTTTAGACCTTTGCGGAATGCCTTCCATCGCAATAGGCACACCGACAAGGCGATAAAGCGCAGGGTGTTCGAAGCCACTGTAGTGTTTGACGTCCAAGTGTGGTCGTGATGTGATCAGCAAGATTTGGACAAGTGGCAGTCAGACCTGGCGTGTTGGCAGGTGGAAGCGTTTGGCTAAGGCAGGGCGAGCTACGCACGAGCGAATGGTCTGGCAGGCTGGGAGTCTGGGAGCAGAAATTTAACGCGCAGGAGCTCGGCTTGCCCGCTCAGTCGGTCGGTGACTTTTGGTGCGGTGTGGAAAGGCATGGAAGGCCAGAGCCCTAGCCATCTGTACAAATGGACTGCGCAGCTATAGCTGGGCATCGGGCAACTGCTGTGCTTGCAAGTTGCATCACGAAACGATTCGCGTTGTGAGGCGCCATGGAAAGCAGCCTGGACATATCCAGGCACTTTTCCCCCCCTTGCCACCAGGCGCGTCACAAGTGCTTGATGATGAAACCTTGTAGGGGGACTTGCCTTATGACCACATCGGCAGAGTTGCGCCTCGCGAATTCCGGACCCCACCCGACCCCTCATGTCTGGACAGTGAAGTTTGAGCTCAGGACATTCAGCCAAACTTCGCCGAACAGGGCCGGGGCCAAGCATGCATGCTCGCACCCTCCGCAGCACGAGAGAGAGAGAGAGAGGGAGGGAGGCCCTAAGCCATCCCAAGCCCTTCTATCAAAGTTTGCATACCCAAAAATGGGTGTTGAGCTCTGTGTGGCCAAATGTTTGTATCAAACGTGAACCGTGTGTCTTTGAGACATCCTGACAATGCCCCAGGCACACAAAGCAGACATATTTGAAGCCAATCCCTTCGCAAATGGCATGCACACACAATTCACTCACTCGGAGCACCTGTAGTAGTCGCCTTGTGCCTTGTAGTAAGACACCTTCGGTATGAAGGACGCCCAAGCGCACTGCAAGTCCAAAGAAGTTTCCCAAGGCGCCTTGGCCTCTGCGGTGGTCGCGCCAGGGATCAGTTTGTCTGTTAGCAGCGCCTGGCAAGGCAAACATGGGAACAGGATTGGAACAATACAGGCAAATGAAAAATCTGGAAATTGAGCAACTGACAGCAATTGGAAATTCAGCTGACAGAATCAGAACTGACAGGCTTCACAATGCGACAGACTTAAGTCGAGGCGGCTAAGCCAGGATCGTCTGACAAAGGCTCGTGAGCTCTGCTTCGATCTCGCGCACCAAGCGTAGCAACACTTTTACAAGCGCAACAAACGCCGTTTCAAGCGCCTGCCTTCTTTCGGTAGCCACGCGCACTGGCAGTGGTCATGTGGTTGCCCTTCGCCTGAATTCAAGAAGCATTCCGAGAACTTGGAACTTCCGAATGGAGCAATCGAAATTGCTACTGCGTTGTGCTGCTGTTTGTTTTTGCGCTCGTTGAGCATTAAAACTATGCTCGTTGCGAGTTTTGGAGAGACATCGCCATTGAACATTGTTGCGAGCTGCCAAGCATCCTCAGCCTTACATTTTGGACACTGCCACAGCAGCGCCCTTGCATCCCCATCATGCTGCATTCCCACAATCCTGAACCATCCTGATTCTCTCCAGCATGGTCTGCTCCCCAGCGTCCGCCTCCCCAACATCCCGAACAGTGGCTTCCCCAATATCACCGGCATCCACATCGAGGAATGAACAGCATTGCGATTGGTTGCACTAAGGTGAACTCTGCCAATGACATGCAATGATTGTATGCCAGTCGAAAAACTCTGAAAGTACTCCGGCAACCTGATGCGTCGGAACATTCTTAGACTTTGGTCTGGAGATACCACACCTTTCCACATCTAATTCTCTTCCAAGAGCTGTCTATCCTGGATTCTAGAGTTCACGAGAGACATAAGTGCGTGAGAGATATTTCCCGTCTGTTAATCCTGGAAATTGGTAAGCCTCCATCTGTCCATTCCTTCTAACACATATTCTTTACTATGTATTTATAATTATAGTCTTGTTAACGGGATCTACCTCATAAGCAAGTTCCTGAGATGTAGATCCCATTTCCTTTCTATTCATCTCTTCTTCGGACGTCGAAAAGCGCAGCTCTGCTTTCAAAATTGCTCATTGGCCGTCTATTCGTGGCATCTTAAGCTTGAGATGAAGCCGACAAATACCCTTGGCCACGTGGCCGAACTTCGCACCTTTGGCAGTTTGACTTCGTAACAAATGTTTCGGAAGCTCCGCCTCCGAGCGGGTGCACACAAAATTGAAATGCCGCCTGCTCCTCTTGCTCGGCTGCGCAAACAATGCGCCAAGCACATCTGCGCTGACCGACCTGAGCCAGGCCAATTTCATTTACTGCAGCCACTTTCCACACTAAGCCACGGACTGCTTGCTTGAAAGCAACTGCCAGGAGGTTCCGCTCCTGGCACTGCAAGACTTGCAAGCTGCGCAACCTGAAGATCTCGCCTCGGCATCTAGTTCCTGCTCGAAGAGCGCAGCCTGACAGGCGCCCTTTGCCTGGTGCCTCCAAGCCCCAAGCCCCCTCTCCCCCGTCTCCCTCTATTCCAAGGATGCAGCTGACTTCATGTGCTCCGCCATCTCGTCATAGCGCTCAGCCTGCTCTGCCAATGTGGCAAAGTAGACCTCAAATCTGAGAGTCGCAAAGCGCTCAGAGCGCTTAAGCCCCTCAGAGCGTGCCAGCGTGCCTCGTGCTCCCGGATCACTCCGTCCATCTCCGTCATGACGGGCCGATCAGAGGGACTCCCAAATGGACGCCCGAATTTTAGGATGGGACTCAGAATCTGCAACTTGTCGGACACCGTTTCAATGCGCTGGCCTGCCTCCTTTTGAGGCTGGCGCTAAGGCATAGCCGGACAACGCAAAACCATCAAGTACGAACATATGCAAAAGATGTTACGCAATAAGAACAATCCACCATGTCAAGTTTATTCAAATACTGAAGTTTATGAGTTCAAATATGAATCAAATTCGGTATTTTCCAAACAGATTACAGCATCAAAATAATTGGATGGTGAAGGTGGCACAATGTGTAATATTTTTTGGGAGATATCACCTATGGAAAAGATGGGCAAGGTTAGGTTTGTTCGTTTTGTTCTGTGATGGGGGCATGTTGCAAGGTTGATTGAAAATGCACGTGTTGTTGCTACTCCTCTCAAATGGGAATTAGCAATCCCAGCCCCAGCGGTTCGATGAAGTATCTGTCCTTATCAGTATGACACAAATCTTGATGGTGACCAACGGCAAGATCATCATGCTTGATGTGGAGGACAGCGACACCATCGGCAATGTCAAGGCCAGAATTCAGCATATGTTCAGTGTTCCAGCCTCGTAGAAGGAGTGGTCGGTTGCTTGCGCGCTGGATTGTTCTTATTTTTTTTAAACCGAAGGGGACGTTGTGGAGGCCTGCGTTTTTCACATACATTTATTTGTGTGTTTTCCAGACATTCACTTTAAAAAGCAACCATTTATGGCCTCCACGGTGTTTTTCCTTACATCTTCTAGAGTCGACGTGTAGAAGGAGAGCTGGGGGGAAAAAGGAATCAATTTTCTAAATTGGTGTTGTTTTTCTCTTCTCTCTCTTTTTTAAGCAAAGTGCATAGACGTTGCTTTTCCGGAACCATAGCCCCAGTGCAACCAAACCAATTCTTGCCACATGTGCTGGCTCATGAAATGTGAAAGCGTAGCAGCAATCAATGTGGGTAGAGGATATTGTAGCTAACACTGCTCTTGATACTGCTCCAGAACCAGGCTACTCGCACCCGGGCCTGCGCGCTCCCAGCAGGGAGCTGATGCGGGAAGGCCCGAACGACTACATCCTGCTGCGCAACGGGCGGAAGAAGCTCGTGCGCTCCCTGCAGGGCGGGGAGCACCGGCTGACCAAGCTGGGGAAGGGCTTTTTCCGTGACAAGTACTACGAGTACCTGGTCCACGTGCCTCAGCCAGAGCCCGCAGTGCTGCGCAGGACTGCTGATGGCCACCTTGGGGCTTTCCCCGAGCTGGCGCCTCGCCTCCCGCACCAGAACAGCCCCGGCTGCACGTCCGCCACGTTGAAGCGCCTCCACTCCGCTCCAGCACCCGCTTCACGGCCTTGTACATGTAGCAATGCCCGTCGAAGGCCAAGAAGCACACGGCGCGGTGCCGGGTTGTAGCTGTCCACGAGGCCGCCGAGCTCGGCACGCGCATCGGGGCGTTGCGCGCACGCAGAACTCCCGCACCTTCTCGGCGGAGATGCCGAGCTTGCAGGGCAGCTGGGTGGCCCCTCATGCGCGAGATCTTTCTGAAGCTGCGACGCTAAGGGAGAGCGCAGCCCACAAGCCTGGAGAGCCGAGTGGCGCCCGGAGCCCAAGCTGCCCCCCCTCGTCTTCGAGGCGCAGGCGTGCAACCTTTCCCCTGCCGATCCTCTGCCCGGCCGACGGCATCGAGCCGTGGAGTCGGGCATCTCCGCACGGAGCCATGACATTTGCTTATCGATTTTCACGTTTTTGGGCCAAACAGGGTCCTGACACGTACGCCCCTCTTGATTTCCGTTTTTGGCCCGAAAAAGCTGCAAAAATCCATCCTGCCGAGCTTGTCACCCTTTGTCACCGTTTTGTCACCCCCAGCTTTTGGGTTGAAAAAAGGGCGCTAAACGGCCAATTTCCCAACTCCCCAAAGACCTCGCCCCAAGTAAACCCGTTTTCGGCCAAGCACAGGAGCGCCTCACCTTAGAATATCATTATTCCCAAGTCCGAGACGGATCTTTTCACCTCCAGCCCGGTGAGCGCCCTCTCCTTAGAATAACGTTACGCCCCAGTCCGAGACGGACCGTTTCACCTCCAGCCCGGCGAGCACCTCTCAATAGAATAACATTATACCCCTGCCGAGACGGATCTTTCATCGGTCCGAAACGGATCTTTTCACCTCCAGCCCGGCGAGCGCCTCTCCTTAGAATAGCGTTATGCCCCAGTCCGAGACGGATCTTTTCACCTCCAGCCCGGTGAGCGCCTCTCCTTAGAATAACGTTATGCCCCAGTCCGAGACGCATCTTTTCACCTCCAGCCCGGTAAGCGCCTCACCTTAGAATATCATTATTCCCAAGTCCGAGACGGATCTTTCATCCTGGTCCGAAACGGATCTTTTCACCTCCAGCCCGGTGAGCGCCTCTCCTTAGAAGAACGTTATGCCCCAGTCCGAGACGGATCTTTTCACCTCCAGCCCTGTGAGCGCCTCTCCTTAGAATAAGGTTATGCCCCAGTCGGAGACGGATCTTTTCACCTCCAGCCCGGTGAGCGCCTCACCTTAGAATATCATTATTCCCAAGTCCGAGACGGTTCTTTTCACCTCCAGCCCGGTGGGGCCTTTTCTTAGAATAACGTTATGCCCCAGTCCAAGACGGATCTTTCATCCTGGTCCGAAACGGATCTTTTCACCTCCAGCCCGGTGAGCGGCTCTCCTTAGAAGAACGTTATGCCCCAGTCCGAGACGGATCTTTTACCTACCAAAGGCCTTGCCCCCATTCAGATAAAATCCCCTCAACCGACCAATTCACATAATATTTTTTCATCATTTCATAACAGAACCTCAACTCAAGATTTGATACATAAATTTTGCAAATATTTTTCTAAAATCCCAAAATATATTTTTCCAAAATCCCAAATTCCCAAATATATTTTCCCAAAATCCCAAAATATAGAATCCCCATAATTTCAAAACATAAATCTTACAATGTTTTTTATTGTAAGGTTTATGGACTATTTTACTAGTCATAAACCCTGCCCGCCATTTTTGGGCACCCTGCCCGCCATTTTCGGGGCACCCTGCCCGCCTGCCCGCCATTTTTGGGCACCCTGCCCGCCTGCATTATTGTAATGTGATTTTTAGTGTTGTCGTTGGATGAACCTAGAAATTTGAATTTTGAACTCCAATCCCAAACTCGTTTCTTTAATCCACCAAACTCGTTAAAATCTCACAAATCAATTCAGCAGGGATTTTGTATAAATCTTCCTGCTTATGTATTACATAATTATCCCCACATTCTGCTTTAGTTTTTGATGGCAGTCGTTCCAACAGAACCACTGCCTGAAAATAATTCTAATAAATTCATATTATTAGAACTATTTAGATATTTATTATATTAATTCGTATTTTCCTTCTTCGTTCTTAAACAGTTTATAAAATTCAATAGTTTCTGCTTTTGGAGATTAATTTTGTTCTTATTTAACATATCCATATATTGCTTTTGCTTATCTTGAAAACTGCCAGACGGCCTTCCTATTTGTTTCTTTTCAAAGATCTTATCAATCTTTTCCTTCTCTTCATTGTTATCATTTGGTTCGTATGCCTTTGCATCAAGTTTCTGGTCAATAGTTTTTATCATCTCGTACAACAGTTTAACATTTTTACTAACTGTCATTATCTTCCTTGATAGTTCAGCAATAGCATCATTCTCAACTTCAGACATTTCTATATATATTTATTTATATAATTATTTATTTAAATATTTATTTATGCGTTTTATTATACAGTTTACCTGAATAATCTAATGTTATATATGTAAATAAATTATATTCTAACAGTCTTTCACCAATTTTATTTTTGATTTGTATTAAACTCTCCCCGCCACCTGTAATTTCAAACAAATAAAATATTGTATCAAAATTATCTGGTTTAGTTATACCTTTCATAAAAATATTTATCATTGAATTTAGCATCAAACCAATAAAAATATTCTTCACTCAATTGTTTAGCAAAGTTTTCATCACCATTGAATAGGTCTTTATTTTCTTCATCGTCAAAAGTTATAACTCTATGGTCTTCTCTATTCATAGTTGGCATTATGATTATACAAATAATTAGATATTTATCTATTTAATTATTTATTTATAAAATTGATTTAATGTAAAATCTACTCTTTAAATACTAACTTATGTCCCTGTTGAAACTAACATTAATCAAATGTTCGTTAGTTTCAATAACCATATCGCCTCCTGATTTTTTTCTGAATATTAAAATCTTTGTCTGTTTTTTAAAAGAAAACATACATGGGACACAACTAACCTTAACACCATCTTTTTTATCTACCGTCAATTCATTCTTAGAATTCATAACATGATTACATTTATCGCATTTTACAGCTTTACTTTCACCCTTTGATTTAACACTCTCCGTTGTTTGTTTTTTTCCGAGCTTCAATATCTGGCATTGGTCTTTCTTTGCTTTTACTCTTTTCTTTCTTGGCATTTATATTAATATTTACATTTTTATTTTTGATATATTGTATTCCTAATTTTATTAATTCTAATGTATAAAAGCATACTTTCTTACATCTGCTGTCAGTTATTATTACTTGTTCTATATTCTCTACTTCATCTATTATATCAATATAATCTGAATAACTTCTTTCCATATTAAATAATAAGATGAAATAATTATTAAAAATAATTATTTGATCTTATTATTTTCATGCATAATAGAATATTGGTGGGGCACAGTACTTGGGTTTTCATTGCACACGCGAGCAAGACACAAAACTAATTATCTTCAATGCTTATTGATTGAAGTTGATGAAAGAGCCTGTTCTACTACGATGGACACCATTCATATCATAGCAATGCTTTCATACAATAAATAATATTAAATTATTTTCTATATATCTTTAATATTATTTTATTATGCCTGATGTAAAACCAATTGACGAAATCAAATATGACTTTAAGCAAAGCAAGCACGAGGTCGTCCCTAAATTGCCGATGAGAGCTATGATTGTGGGCCCGTCAGGCTC